AGGACGAACCTGTGGAATCCCATCCGTGAGGCACACTGGAGGGTCACATTCCCTCCTGAGGTCACGACAGGGCTGGGCAGGGCTGAGAGGCTGGCTTGGCCATGAGATCCTAGGAGAGGAGGAGGTGGTGGTGTTAAATGGGGCTCAGACGCCCCACAGTATCCCTAGGCTGGGCTGTGAGAGGAGAAACCTGAGGGGAGGGCAGAACCTGAGGTGGGACCCTAGGTGGGCTCACACCTGTCACCACCAGCTCCAGGGGGTCACTGTACTCTGACCAGCTGATGGGACTGAAGTAGCTACAGTGATATCTTCCTGCATATACATTTGTAAGGTATGTGATGGAGAAGTTGGCCTTGTCCCCGGTCTCCAGCGGTTTCTGTCTGTCCCAGGTCCCTGAATATCCTTCTTTATGTAGGAGGTACCCCTGGGCCTCCAGGCTTCCCTGACACCAGATGGTCACAGGTGTCCCCAGGGCATCACAGAGCCTGGCTCAGCCCAGATGGTGGGTCTGAGGAGAGTCCCTGGAAGGAAACAGAGCTACTGTTCTCCATCCCCTGCTGCCTGGTAGGTGACCCCTGTCCCCAGTGAGGAGGTGGGACTGGGACCCCTAGGGACAGACTCACCTGCCTGTGCTCGGGTCCTGGGGCCCACACTCAGCCCTGGAAGAGAGTCCTGTGAGAAGTTTGCCCTGAATCCTAGCAGATCCCCTCCTCCTGTGAGCCTCCTGAGCCTGGGGCCTCCAACAGACCAGGGCCTGGATGTGGGGCAGGTCCCTCCCAGGGGTGTCCCCTCCCCTCCTCAGATCTCACCAAGACACAGCAGGACTGTGAGGGCGGAGGTCATGGTGTTTCCTCTCTCTGGTTGCAGCTGGGCAGATGGAGGGCCCACTGTGACCACAGGACAGACAGACACACAGGGCGTGGCCACCTGGAGGCCAGCCCTGCCTGTCACAGGGTTGTCACATCAGCAGTGCCACAGGAAGGGGAACAGCCTCTCCCCTGAGACCTGCTCTGGTGTCCATGATGGTACAGGGGGTGGACCCTGAAGCTTCCTGAGATGCCCCTTCCAGGTGAGGAGACCAGGGCAGGTCCTTCCCTCCCAGAACCTCCCCCATGGGTCTCCTTCATCCCCACAACCCATGGTCTTCACCATGGACATGTCCCCAGACTCAGATATGCTGCAGGCAGGGGACATGGGCTCCTGCTGTGCTGGGGAGCTCATGTCAGCACAGACATGCGTGTGATGTGTCTGAATGGATCAGGTCAAGGTCACAAAGGCAATGAGCCCAGAGGAGAAATACGGGCAATTAGGGAAGGAAACACGGCCCCTCTCCTGGCCCCGGAGTGTAGGCTTTCCTCTTGTCACAGCCTCCAAGGACTTCTCTATTTTCCTGTGACATGGTCCACACCCCATTCATGGGCACATGCCTGTGTGAGTCCCTCCTGGCTCTTCGGCGCCCCTTGCTGCAGGGGCAGAGTCGTGCTCCCCACCCTGGGGTCTTGCCTGTAAGCTGTAGGGAACAGTACGTGGATGAGTGCTCTGATATGGGAGACAAAGCTGATTCTCATGTCATTACTACTCCAGTGTCCACTGCCCAGGTGACCGTGAGCACAGTGACCTGGTCTGTAGCCTGTTGTCCTGAACCCCTCTCTCAGAGTGGTTGTGGGATCAGTGGGACCTAGAATGTGGATGGGATGAATCTTGTTAGATTCCTG